TTATAGATCAGCAGCTCAGGAAGTCTCTGCCAAGATGACATACATTCTAGTAGGTCTGTGGGAAAAGCATTCTAGGTGGAGCATCCAGTGCAAAGGTCCTGGGGCAGAGCATGCTGGAAGCACAGTGAAGCTCAGTGTGGCTGAGCAGAGAGGGAGCGGAAGGGCCTCCAGGCCATAGCGAGGAGTACGGGCTCTGTTCTCATCCCTAGTTGGAAGCAGGAAATGAAGGATTTGAATGATTTGCCCCAAGCTGCTGGTTACCTCGCATGGTACCCCCCCAACCCAGCTCAGAGGACCATGGGATCCAGCATGTCCTGTAACCACCACACATTAAGGCCGAGGTCTCAGAGAGTAGTCAGGTATAATCCTCGTGATAAAAAGGCATAGAGTAGCCGAACACATTGGCGCATGCCTGACAGCCCAGCTACCGGAACGCCTGTTACCCCTAGTGTGGGAGGCTGAAGCAGGAGGATCACAAGTCCATGCCCTGCCTGGACAATGTAGTGACTTAGAAATATTCAAAAAATAAAATAAAGTGGACATGGCTCAGTGTGAAGGTCCTGGGTTTGATCTCCAGTACCATTAAAAAGACTTTTTAGGGCTGGGGATTTAGCTCAGTGATTTGGTGGCCTGCCTTGCAAGCGCAAGGACCCGAGTTCAATCCCTGGTACCAAAAAAAACAAAAAAACTTTTTAGTTGGAGCCAGGCATGGTGGCATACTCCTGTAATCCCAGCACTCGGGAGGCTGAGGCAGGAGGATCACTGTGAGTTTGAAACCAGCCTGGGCTACATAGTGAGTTTCAGGTCAGTCTCAACTACATTGTGAGATCCTGTCTCAAAACAAACCAAAAAAAGATTTTTTTGTGGTGATGGATATGTTAATTAGCTTGATTTAATCATACCACAGTGTATATACATGTCAAAACATCACTACCCCTGAAATTGTAAATTTTTGTCATATACCTTAATAAAGCTGGAGGAATTTTTAAAAAATCACACCCAGTATTTGTAAACTGGCATGGTAACATTACAACGTTTTGTTGCACCAAATTTATAAACTTTACAGTGCAATACTTGTTACTTTTCTGAGGCAAACTAAAGGTGTATTTCTCAAGGGTTTGTTGCCTTTGTTAGCAGCATTTGTTGGATCTTTTATACATTTGTAATAGAAAAAAATAAACCAGGCAGGAGGGTCGCTGTGAGTTCGAGACCAGCCTGGGCTACATAGTGAGTTCCAGGTCAGTCTCAACTACATAGTGAGAACGAACCTGTCTCAAACAAACAAACAAAAATAATAATAAAAATAAACCAGATTGCAAATCCTTTAAAAAATTTTAAACCATGGACCAACTTTTTGGTTGAAATTGTGTAGGATAAGTTAAATTGCATTCTCTTAACCGATACGAGTGTATTTCTGTAAGCATAGTTATGTTGAAATAAAGTTGTGAAAAGCAAAAAGTAAATAAAAATAAAATTACACCCAATAAATCTAATTTTACAAATAATCAGTGTGTGACTGGGTCTTGTGGAGCTGCTGCTGGTCACCCCAGGGTGGGCGCCTCGCACCAAAGTCAACCCCAGACAGTGACCAGGAGAAGACAGCGAGCTCCCCTGGTCAGCAGGGCTCACACAAGTCTTTGCTGGTGCCGAGCACTGTCAGAACAAGGACTATTGTGGGATGCACGGAGCCAGGCCTGCCCTCGGGATGGGTGCTGTGGTCTGAGGTCATGGGAGAAGAACCCTTGCATAGGAGACTCAGCGGGACAATTGTAAGTTGCTAGTCAGAGTGGTTTAGTGACTTAGGGGGGACTCTGTCTTAATAAACAAAAATTAAAAAGTCTGCAGCTTTAGTTCTGTGCTAAGGCGCTACGGGTTCAATCCCTAGGCCCAGACCCCCCCGCCCAATGCCCAGAAAGACCCCTTGCTTTTCCTTTTACCACATGAGGACAGTGAGAAGTTATCATCTTTGAAGTCAAAATAGGGGTCTCAGAGCCAGATGTGGTGGTGCGCAGCTGTAGTCCCAGTTATTTGGGAGGCTGAAGCAGGAGGATCTCCGGTTTGAGGTCATCCTGGGTAACAGACCCTATCTCACAAACAAAAACAGTGCAAACAATTCCATGGGTTTGTCTGATGTCCCCTCATAAATTCGAGGTACATCTTTGTGGCAGGGATTACACACAGGAGTGTCCCTCTGGGGACACCCTAGCTGGAGTCAAGTGGTCACCTGCGCCTTTCTGATCAACTTACTGGTCACCCGCTCTCCTGTGTTAACTGGGTGACTCATGTCCCCTTGGCAATTATTAGATGTCTGGTGGGGAGGCGCTTTTAGTGTGTAGCCAAGGGATATTTGACGAGGGGAAGGAAGGACCTAGCCCGTCCACTGTGGTGCGGGCAGTCTTTCCTTTCAAGGATAGAAATGCAAACATTCCAGGTGCTGATCCGTGGGGAAAGCAAGAGGCTGTGTCACACAGTGACCACCGGGGGGCAGCAGAGGACTGGGATGACTCCAATACCCAGCTCCAGTGGGGAACTGCTGTTCCTGCCTTCAATTTAAGAGGACTCAGTGGCTTTGGCCAGTCCTGCAGGCTGAAGTGGGGAATCTTGGTAACAGGTGGCCTGCCGCCCTGAGGACAGCAATCCCGGCCAAATCCAGCAGTCGCCAGCTGCCATGCACACCCGCCTCTGGACAGCACTGTCTATCCGGGGATGAACCCCTCTGGCTGCAGAATTCTTGGGTCCTGAGGGGCATCTGCTTGGAGACTTGCCTGCCACCCTAAAATCACCCTGGAAGGGGAAGTGGCTGGAAGGTTTTCGAGGACATCCAGGAGGTCAAAAGGGAAAAGGAAGACACGGGCCCAGGGGTCTTAGAGGCGGGGATTACTGAGCAAAATCAGCGAGGCAACTGGGAAGGCACAGCCTGCTTTATAGCTCATCTTGTGTGCTGGGCGTGCTGCACACACATCTGTACTAGCACTTGGGGAGGCTGAGGCAGGAGAGTCTCAAGTTTGACCCCAGCCTCGGCAATTTAGCAACTTACTGAGACCGTGTCTCAAAATAGAAAATAAAAAGGGTTGGGGATGGAACTCAGTGTAGTAAAAAAATAAACAAAAACCTTACAGCCAGGTGTGGTGGCCCATGCCTGTAATCCCAGCACTCGGGAGGCTGAGGCAGGAGGACCGCTGTGAGCTCAAAACCATCCTGGACTACATAGTGAGTTCCAGGTCAGTCTCAACTACATAGTGAGAACCTATCTCCAAAACACAAAACAAAACAAACACAAAAAAATACAACAAGCAAAAACCTTACAGCAGGGTGTGGAGTGAGGCGTCTTAGGGGACCACCCCCTCAATTCAGTTGATTCCGCCAGCAAGTACTTGTCAAGCAGATGAACCTTTGGGCCGAGCCGCTGGTGTGAGACATCGCTTGGGAGGCAGACACCCATGTTGACCTTGGTGGGCCACATGGGACCCTGGGCCACATCTGGGACACTGGTGATTGTCCAGACAGGCGATGCTGTGGGCACAGAGCAGGTGGAGGCCAGGGATGCTCAGCACCCTGCAGTGCCCAGGATGCCCCACAGAGCTCACAGGCCTGTGTTGTGTGCAGGGGAGAAGCAGCCCACTTGGTTTCCATGGATACACTGAGCTCCCTGAGCAGTGGGAGTGGAGCAGGGGTTGTCTTTTGTCCGGGTGGGAAACAGGCAGAAGTGATTTCCTCGAGCACAGCTGGGGCCGGGCTCACCTGGAGGCTCTGGCTAGGATGAAGGGACCTGGTGGCCTGCGAGACTCGGAGCCTGTGGTCCCCATGGAGCCCCTGGCCGGTCCGACTTGGCTCGGGGCTCAGAGCAGACGGGCTGAGGCTGGGACCCAGCTGTGGAGGCGTGGGCGGCTTCCCATCTGTCACCCAGCGCCTGGCAGGAGCTGGCACAGAGTCAGGACTGGCCACATGATTCGGAGGGCTGTGGGGCAAAGTGAAAGTTAATTTTGTTCAAAAAGAAAGAATTTCGGGCTGGGGATTTAGCTCAGTGGTTCCGACCCCTGGTACCAAAAAAATAAAATAAAAATTTCAAGATGCACACAGCTGGGGCAACTTAGTGAGACCGAGGGCCATTTTAGTGTCACCCACAAACCCCGGCACCCTGGGCCGGGCCCAGGGCAGGTGTGGGCCACAGAGCTGGGGTCCCGGCGGCGGCGGCGGCTTCATCTGGGGCGCCCTCCTGCCACGGGTCCCTTCTGTCCCCACAGGTGCGGTCCCACCCTGCGGAGGCGGTACTGTGGCTATGCCCGGGCTGGTCATCCAGGGTCCCCGGAGCTGCCCCACGGCTTCCCTGTGTGAGTCCGAGAATCACCCGGGCATCTGCTTATCCTGCCCCACCGGGGCAGTCAGCGCCGTGCGTGCACCTGCCCCGCTAGCACCGCCTCCCGGCCAAGCGTGGCTCCTGCAGCTCCCCGGCTCCCGGCTGACCAGGCCTAGGAAGCCGGGGAGGTGCCAGGAGGCCTGAGGTCAGAGGCTAATCCCGGGCTGCTCAGGGCGCCCGAGGCAAGTGTGGGAAGGAAGCTCCGGTGTCCCAGCAGCTGCATCCTCTGGGGCACTGTGTGTGGCGGGGCTGGAGCGTGAACAAGGAGCCCCAAAATGCACCTTTCCACGAGCTTATTGCTACAAGAATCAGGAATGGTGGCACGCACCCCCGTCATCCCAGCAATCGGAGGCTGAGGCGAGGGTCATGTTTGACTGTAGCCTCGGGACCTTAGTGACTTATCAAGAAACCCTGTCTCAGCTGGGCGTGGTAGCACATTCCTGCAATCCCAGCAGTGAGGAGGCTGAGGCAGGAGGATCACCATGAGTTTGAGGCCAGCGGGACTACAGATTGAGACCCTGTCTCAAAAAAAAAAGAAGAAAAGAGAGAGAAAGGAGAGGTTGGGAGCTTGTGGTGCCTCTGTTACCCCTGTTCCTCCTCATGGACGCCACAAAGGACGCAGCAGGAGCACACAGCAGAAACCCTGTCTGTATTGGTTCCACACAGGAACAAACACCACCGTTACAGCGCATCGCTGAGCTCGAAGGACTCCAGGGAGAGGAGGCGATTCTTGAACGACATTCTTCTCCTGAGTTCATCTAAGTCTTCCATATAAGACCAGACAAACATGGGGATTATCAGGGGCCTCAGAACATCTGCACACCTTTCTCTCCGTGCCTCCTGCACCCCGACACGGGCTGAGGGGTGCAGTTTTCGAGGCCGTGGGAACTGGCATTAGTGCATTCTGTGTGAGGGAGGACAAACATTGGAGACCGAGTATGTGTGAGACGTACGGGCATAAAGAAACCTTCTAAGAACAATTAGAGCACAAAACTATTGGCATAAACATTTTCCAACAGAGGACGTATTGCATTTCTGTAGACAGCGCTTTCTTTGTGATCTCTGCATGTCTGGAGTTCGGGGCTGCGTGGGTCCTTGGTTGTCACCTGTGCCCAGTTTCGCTTTGAAGAGGTCAAGGCGGGACTTGCGGGTGTCAGAGCCCTCCAAGGTCACAGGAGGACAAGAGCGGAGTCCTTTCTATGGCTTGTTCTTTCTCCAGCTGCGGATCTGTCATTGGAGATGGAGCGCCGCAGGGCAGGAAGCCTGGGACCGTCCAGCCACCAAGGGCCACAAGGCACACGCTGGGGTGGGTTCTTCCTGCCCGGGAGCACTGGGGGCTCTGTGCCCCCACCAGTGCAGGACCAGGTGGGGCCGGGCTGTCACTCCCCGCTCAGCCCGGGCTGGGTCTGTCAGTGAGGTGACTCAGAGAAGTAGCCTGTAGTGGGGGACGCAGAGCACAGCTCACGTCGGGCGGAGGGGGCGTCCCCAGAACGAGGGACACAGGGCCTCGCCGCAGCTTTGACAGCGTGGGTAACTGTCTCTCTCGTGGGTCCGGGGAGCGTGGCCCCGGGGCAGAGTCAGAGTAAACATCAAGTCATCTAAGAGGCACAAGTGCGGTGGGGCCAGGAGGTCCAGGTTCCCAGGGTGGCCTGGTGACACCTTCTGGGACCTCATGTCCGGAAGGCACCTAGGGGAAGGTGCTAGATGCCACCGTGCAGGTGGTGGCCCGAGTCACGGCGCTCCCGTTTCACCAGGGGCTCGCCCAGGCTGCAGGCGTCTTCGCCACCCCGCTCACTGCTGATGTCATCTGTGGGGCCAGTGTGGGAGGAGGGAGAGGAGCTCGTGAGCAGAGAGGCGCAGGGGCAGAGACCCACGGCCGCCTGTGACACTGCCCGGCCACACACGGCGCCCTAGGCCGGGCATCACCGAGGGCGGCCTGTGTCACGGTCCCAGGAGGGCCAGGCCTCTGGGTCCCTGGGAGGCGTCGGGCCCCCGCCGCTTGTCACAGGGACTCCTGGCCACTTCCCAGACACCACCTCCCAGGGTCCCCAATTTCCCCCTGCTTCGGCGACCTGGGGCCAGGGCCAGGGGGAAGCCAGGACATACACACCTTTGTCGAGCAGCGTCAGCGACAGGGAGGTGAGGTCATTGAACTGCAAGAGAAGCCAGAGTCAGGGTCCACAGGGGTGAGGAGAGCGACTGCAGGACCGGGGAGGGCAAGGCAGTCACGGCCACACCCACTTCCGGTTCTGTTTGGATTCAGCTTCTGCCAGCACAAGTGGCTGTGACCCTTTCCTGGCACCCAGTAGTCTCTGGGGCCCGGTGGGAAACACACTGGACTTTCCGGTGGGGGCTGGGGGCTGTAGGACCAGCCAGCTGTGGGCCCGGGAACAGAGTCCTCCAGGGCCCAGGGCCTGGCTGTGGGCAAGGTACAAACGTCCTCCCTGGCTCCCACAAGGGGTGGGCTGGTCACTGGCCTCAGGACGTGCGACCTCTACATACTGAGAGCCAGGGGCAGGGGCACATGCTCATGATCCCAGCACTCCAGAGGCTGAGGCAGGAGGATCACAAGTTTCAGCCTAAACTAAGCAACCTAAACGAGACAGCAAGGACACACTGGGCCAGGACAGAAGCGAGGCTGTGGCCAGGAGGGACCCTGAGGACGCCATGCTCAGCGAGAGACTCCAGACACAGACGACACAGTGTGGACTCCACGGACAGGAAACAGCCAGGACAGGCGGCTACAGGGTCAGGAAGTGGCCTCAGGGGTGCCGGGCTGGCTAGGTGAATGGAACCTGACTTCTCACGGGGTGAGGCTTCTTCTTGGGGGGCGCAATGTTCCGGAACCGACTGGCGGTGTGGGCAGGGCACCTGCGGACTGGCTGGGCCGGGGAGCCGGGCCTCACCTCCCCCATGACGGCGATAGGCGTCTCCCCAGTGGCCTCGGCGACTCGGTGCTCCACCAGGTAGAACATGTACTCGTCATAGAGCAGGCGGATGAGGTGGAAGGAGCCGAAGCTGGCAGCACTGCGCAGGGTCAGGTCCCGGATCACCATGGAGCTGGGGGCAGGCGACAGGTACGCTCAGGGTACAGAGCCCAGGCCTCGGCCAGGCTGCGGTGCCCCGGGCTTGGCACCCCACACACCCGAGCAGCCTGCAGGAAGCTCTGCCAGCAGGAGGCCACCTGAGGGTGCGTGAGGGGGACACATCCCGACACATGGGGACAGGAGGGGCAGGACAGAAGGTGACAAAGGAAGTGCGCTTTAGGGAGGACTTGGGTGCCGTGGGTCTGACGGCTGCCTGGAGGAAAAGACTTCCGGGCAGAGAAAGAGCGGGTGCAGAGTCCCTGTAGCACGGAGGCCAGGAAGGGACACGAGGAAAGCAGAGGAGGAGGAGCCCCGGAAGCCAGCGGAGGGCCCAGCAAAGCTTTTCTTTTTGGCCGGGCATAGTGGTGCTTGCTTGTAATCCCAGCACTCAGAAGGCCGAGACAGGAGGATCACCGCTACTAGTTTGAGGCTGGCCTGGCTACATAGTGAATTCAAGGCCAGCCTGAACCACAGAACAAGACCTGTCTCGAAAAAGAAATCTTGCTTTGGTGGTGCTGGGGATGGAACCAGGGCCTGGCACATGCTAGGCAAGCGCCCACCACTGAGCAGCCTGGCAGTCCAGCCAGCTTGACCTGAGGAGAGCCAGCTGGGAAATATTTTTGGCCTTTGGGACAACAGTCACACTTCCTCGTTGGAAGCTACTCAGTTCTGCTACTGGGTGTGACAGAAGGTGGACAGTGATTTGGCCCCACAGCCACAGCTCCACTGAAACCATGCAGGGCCTGTAGGATATGGAACAGCTTAGTGTTTTCCTCAGGGTAATAAAGGCCTTCCCTTCCTCCTTCCTTTTCTTCCTTTCCAGGACTGGAGATTGAACCCACTGCCTTCACAGTGAACTACATCCCAACTTTCAAAACTATTTTTTTTACTTTGAATTTCACTAAGTCCCTGAATTGCCCAGGCTGGGCTTGAAATTGGAATCCTCCTGCCTCAGCCTCCTGGAGTCCCGGGATGACAGGGGTGCACCACCACACTCAGCTCCCGTTACTTTCCTGTCACCTTAGTGAGGTCTGCTAGGGAACTTACTTCCCCAGGAGGCCCCAGGCCGTGTTGGCCCTGTGTACCCTCCCGGGTAGGTGCCACCCTGCTGAGCCCCACTGTCTGCAAGCTGGGCGGCAGAGACTGGAACGGGCAGGACTCTGGGGCCCCTCCTGGGCCGGGGCACCATGAGGCTCACCTGTAAAAGGACCACTTGAGCAGGAACTGCCTTGCGGCCTTGGGGAAGCTGGGGCTGCCTGCATGCTGCTTGAGCACCTGGCTGACCACGCCGTCCAGCCAGCGGGCCCACTGCTCGAGCGAGCTCTGCTGCTGCAGGGTCACCTTGAAGTCCTGTTCCAGCCGCTGCACCAGGCCCTCCTCGCACTGGCACACCCACGAGGCCTGCTCCTGTGAAGGAGAGGCACGGCGGGCAATGGTGTGGCTTGGGCCGAGCTCCT